GAACAAAGAGCTTCTGGAAAAGTAGTCAGCAAGAGTTGGATCTGCAATAGAACCAGGCATCAAAGCCACAGAAATCCAAGTACTAAGACTAAAGAAAACATCTCAGAATAGAAGTATCACAATTTCAAGTGACAGAAGGAAACAGGGAGGGGAAGAATATGAAATTCTCATATTTTCAAGCAGGGAATGAGGGTTACTATCTAAAATCAGACCTGGGGCTGGGAATGTTTCTCAGTGGTAGAGTGTATTTGCCTAGGATGTGCAGGGTCATAGGTTCAATTCTCAGCATCACAAACAAACAAAAACCATGAATGTAATTATATCTGATTTCAAAGATAATGTACTTACAGTGAATGAAAAGACAAAAAAATTTAAGCAGAAAAAGACAAGCTATAAAAAGTAACCACACAGAGCCAAGTGTGGTGATGTGTGACTGTAGGCTGAAGCAGGAAGATTGAGTCCAGTCCGGGCAATTCAAGTGATTTAGCAAGACCCTGTTACAAAAAATAAAAAAGGGGGCTTGTGATGCAGCTCACCAGGATGTAGTTCTCTGGGTTCAATTCCCAGTACTGTGAAGAAAAATATGCTAAGTAAATTCAATATACAATATAAACATCATTTAAATGGACTTCACAGTAGAATGGAGGTAACAGGAAAAGTTAGTGAGCCCAAAGATACATCAAAGCAAAAGAACAGAGAGGGAAAAAAATATTACAGTTGAATGGAGCCTTGGTACCCAGAAAGACAAACATATGCCTAACTTGAGTCCAGTAGAGAAGAGAGCCAAGAGATCTCGCTGAAAACACAGTGGCTGCCAACACTCCAAAACTGGGTGAGAAACGAGATCAAAAATTCAAGAAACTCAGCATATCCCAAGCAGGATTAAAATAAGGAAAGTCACGTCCAGACATATCATAAACAGCTGAAATCAAAGATCTAAAGAAAACCATGAAACATCCAGAGAAAAGTGATATATTCCCAAAGGGACCAATTCCAATTATGCCCGTTTCAACAGAAATTATGGATGCTAGAAGACAGTGAAGCATCTTTCAATGTGCAAAGACTAAAAAATGTGGCAGGGCTCAGGCTTGTTAGACAGTGTGAGGCCCTGGGTTCATCCCTAGCATCACATTAAACAAAAAAAAAAGTCAGTGCAGAATTCAGTTTCCAGCAAAATCATCCTCAAACACAAAAGTAAAACAAAGATATTTTCAAATAAAGAGAAGCTAAAAGAACCTACTGCTAAGAAATGTCAAAGAAAATTATTTGGGCTGCCGGGCGTGGTGGCCCATGACTGTAATCCCAGCACTCAGGAGGCTGAGGTAGGAGGATCGCTGTGGGTTCGAGACCAGCCTGGACTACATAGTGAGTTCCAGGTCAATCTCAACTATGTCGTGAGACCCTGTCTCAAAAAAAAAAAAAATTATTCGCGCTGAAAAAAAATGAACACAACGAAAAATGATAAATATCTAGGTACAAGGCCATTTTTTTCTTTTCAAAAAATTACACAGGAGTAGCCCAACGTAGATGCCTATAATCCTAACCTACAGGAGGCTGAGGCAGGAGGATTATGAGCTCAAAGCTACCTCAAGCTATACAGTGAGACCTTGTCTCAAAAAACCAAAACCGGGCTGGGGATTTAGCTCAATGGTTCCGCTACCTGCTTCGCAAGCACAAGGACCAGAGTTCGATCCCTGGTACCAAAAAATCCCCCAAACAACAACAACAACAAAAAAAACCCAAAACTAAAACCAAAACTAGCAAGCAAATAATCCCTTACACATACACACACACACACACACACACACACTTTTTATGGGGGGCGGTACCAGGGAACGAACTTGGGACCTTATGCTTGTAAGGCAGGCAGCAGCACCACTGAGCTAAATTCCCAACCCTCACACATTCTGTTGTGCTGAGACAGTCTTGCTACATAGTTCAAGCTAGCTTTGCTTGCTATGTAGTTCAGGTGGGCCTCAAATTTGTGATCCTTTGGCTTTAATCTCCCCAGTACTTGGAGGTGTGAACTGGTACTAGGGCTTGAACTTGAGGCTTCATGCATTCTAGGCAAATGCTCTACCACTGAGCTACCTTTCCAGCCCTCTTTAAATTTCACTTATTTTTGTAGTACTGAGGATGAACACAGGAAGCACTGAGCTACATTCCCAGCTCCTTTCATTGTCATATTTTGATTTATTTTGAGACAGGGTTTTAACAGTGTGCTTCAAGATGGCCCTGAACTCAAGACAATCCTTTTGATTTAGCCTCCCAAGCACTGGAATTACAGGAGTGAGCCACCATACCCTGCTTATTTTTGTATTTTGAGATAGGGGTCTTGTTAAATTACCCAGGCTGGCCTCAGACTTGAGAGATTTTGCTGCATCAGCCTACTCGTTGCTGGGCTGGTAGGGACATGCCACCATGCTGGTTTATCATTTTTCCTAAATTCATCTTCATTAAATTTTAATTCCCGAGGCCTACGTCAAGATCTATCTGAACTGCACTTGCTATTTTATGAACTACCATCATAGGTTTATTTCATCTTCATTTCAGGAGGGAGTCTCAACATTTCTTATGGAACTTCTTCAGTAACATCAATTTTAAAAAACAAAGAGGAACACATTTTACCAGTCTGGTATGCGTTAGCAGGTGCTGTGCAGAGCATGAGGACTCTTATGTGCTGCTGGACACACAAGACCATATACACATGCAGGGAACCAGGAGCTCTGGAGAAGGCTGGTACTCAAGAGGCTCAGGAGGTGTTTCCCAGAGGACATACAGCACACCATTCTCCACAAGTCTCCCCTTGGCATTCACTTGGGTCTTCATTCTGCTAGTGGCATAGGTGCCCACCTCTCTGGCCTTCTCTATAAGACGTTTCTGCATGCAGGCCCTACCCATTATCAGATCCTTCCCACCACTGCACCCAATGTACCTCCTGGTCTGATTGGCAGATCAGCATCCTCACTGGCAGAGAAAGAACAGACTCGTCCCTCTTCTCTGCCCATGTCTACACCCCAGAACCCCGTGCCCTTGGGCAGACATCCCTGCCCTTGGAAACGGTTCCTGGCCACACACTGCAGAGCCTGTCATCTTTGTAGAGCTGTCCTGGCTTCTCTGTCTGCATTTGTCAGAGCTCATCACTCATCTGTTCAACAAATATTTATGAAGCATGTACCACATGCTGTTCTCAATACTAGGAATTCAGCAGTAACAAAATGAACAGACATACACAAGTCCCTGCCCACACAGGCTTGAAGTCTAGCACCATGCCTGTGCTCCTGAGGAGACACTCAGATCTTCTGGGAGGGTTGGGGATGAAGCCCAGTAGTGGAGAACTTTCCTAACAGTAAGAGGCTCTGGGTGTGATTCCCAGCCCAGCAAAAAAAAGATCTCAAAAGAAAACTGTGGTTCCTATTCCTATATTTCCACCGGGTGTACTTTTAGCACACAGATCTGCTGCTGAATTCGACCTGCTGTTGAGAAAAAATTGTTTATCAACTTCAAAAGGAAAGATCTGCAAACATCTTAAAAGGCAATGTTTTTAGAATTTTATTCTGCAATATTTGATACACATAAAGAAATATATGGAATATATAAAAGTTATAATGTATAGTGAAAAATAAACACAATTCCACTGCCAACTTAAAAACTAGAAAAGTAGATGGACAATATAGGTCAGTGATAGTGTTTGCCTAGCATGTGTTCGGCATAAAATAAAAACTAGAAAAGTGTCAACAACCTTGTAGATCCCCATGTTCACTCTTCCTTTAAAAAATTACCTCATATGCTTATTCCTAAATACTACTTCTGTTTTTTATAACTTAAAACACATTACCTACACTGTATGCAACCCATATAGGCCTTTGTTTTGTTTTGGTTTTTATTTTGGTTTTCTTTGGTTGTTCTAGCTATATAGAGTCTCGTTATATAGTCCACGTTGGCTCTATAGCCTAGGTTGGCCTCAAACTCAAGGTGATCCTCCAGCCTCAGCCTCCCAAATGCCGGGATTATAGGTGTGTGCCACCACACCTGGCTACAGGCCTTCATTTGAAACTCAACATGTCTCTAAGATTATTCCTCATTGTCAGATGTAGCTATAATTCCATTATTTATTTGCAGCTTGGGTCAAATTCCATTTAATGATGAGACCACAACTCACTGGTCATCTAGTGAAAGACATCTGGGGTGTTTCCAGTGTTTGGTACTATAAGAAGTGTTGCTCTGAACATTCCTGAGCTGGCAACATGGTGTGGCTCAAGTGTAGGGGGCCCAAGGCTCGCTGAGCTGCACAGATGTCAACAATGAGAGCAAGAAAGTCAGCCAGCACAGCAACAAGCTAACAGCACTAACTCTTGCCATTCTGACTTCACCTGGTAACTACAAACCCAAACCACAAAGAGGCAGCCCTACATACCTACTATACTTGCTTCACCAGGTGAGCAGTGCACACCTCTAGCTACTCTGGAGGCTGAGGCAGCAGAACTGTGAGTTTGAGTCTGATGTCAGCATGGGCAACATAGGCAACAGCAAAACTCCCTCAAAACAAAAGGAAAGACAACAGAAAGAGAGGAGGGAAGGAGGGAGAGGAGAATCCAGGACTCAGAGCAGCTGTGGGTTGGACTCATCTCAGAGGCCTGAGTGTTAAAGCCCCACAGCGACTGGGTAAGGAACAACCACAGGAGATATCCAGGGTCAGGGAGCTGTGGTCAGGCTGGCAAGAGACATCCAGAATGTTATAAACTAAATGACTCAGGTCCCAAACCCAGGACTAGAGGCCAGGATTAGCCTAAACTTCTGTGGATTGAAAACACCAGAATGGCACCCTGCCCTAATCGCACTGCAGGCTTGTTGGGATTATCCAGCATGGATGCAGCTCTGACTGCCTCCTTAGTCTACCGGTGAAAACAGTGTTAAGCCCTGAATTGGATACTACCACAAAACTGTAGACCTCAGAAGATAATTAAAGGCTTGAAATAACAGAGAACCCCCCCCATTACCTGTGGGTTTTTTTGTTGTTGTTGGTTTGCTTTTGTTTTTTTCATGAGCATGAACTGTTTTTAGGGTTTTTTGTTCCTATTTTTTTTCCTTCTTTTTCCCTATTGTCTTCTTCACCAGTTTCCCAAGGCTTGGATAATCTTCCTTTGCCCTTCAGCCTTGTTTCTAATCTTTTTCTCTTATTTCTCCATTTTTTCCTCTGATCCTTCTTAAATTTTCTCTCCTTAGGATAAAATTCCTCTATCAAGTGGATATTTACTGTACATAATTTTCTGATTTGTCTTGGATTTTGTTATGTAGCTACAAATCTTTTTTTTTTTAATTCCTGGTCCCAGGGATTGAACTCAGGTCCTTGTGCTTGCAAGGCAGGCTGCAGAACCACTGAACTAAATCCCAAGAAATTTTTAATTTTGGTACCGGGGAATTGAACTTGGGCCCTTGTGCTTTCGAGGCAGGCAGTGGAACCACTGAACCAAATGCCTGACCTGGAAATTGTACCTACAAATCTTATACCTATGTTTAAAGGCAACAAATTAACAGTTATCACAGTTTCTCATTTTCCAGTCTAAGCTTGATGCTATCGTTATTACTATTCTAGTCAAGGTGACATAGTTGTTGTGATCAACTGATCTTCCTTGTATGTCAATACCAAGCTTGTCTGGGGTTCATAAACATTAGTGCAGTACCAAAGAACTAGATGCTAGGCCAAATAGGTAGCAATCTTTCATCCCTAATACAATGAAGAGGCAGGATCCTGGGACAGATTCAAAAGTCAAAAGCCAGCTACACTTAGAAGACATCTCTGAAAAGTATGCATTTATTTCCTAAAGCAGTCTCCATCCTAGTAATAAAACTACCTACCATGAGCAATTTTCAGGCCTCAACACAAGACACACACAGGCACACACAGAGAAAATGTGAAAATAGGGAGGGAAGATGCAACCCATAACCCTCAACTCGCCAAGGGCAAATCAAAAGGGCACTGAGGTAAAAGAAATCAAAAGCCACCCAGGTGAATTTTATGAAATGGTAGCATCAGAAGTAATAATCTCTTTTAATTAATTTTTTTTTCAGTACCAGGGATCGAACTCAGGACCTCATACTTGCCAGGCAGGCGCAGTGCCCTCTTGAGCTACATCCCTGGTCCAATAATCTCTTGACAAAAGCAAAACAGATAATTAAAGAGATGACAACCATAATGAAGGAAATGATTAGTGAACCCAGAATAGAACAACAAAAAAAGGAATTTAGGAAAGTCATGGAAACCATGAATGCCCAACATAAAAAAGAACTGGATTCCATAAAATAGGCTCAAATGGAAATCATGGAGATTAAAAATTCTACTGGAAGTATACACACAGTATATACATAGTATATACAACCAATGTGAAGGCAGAATATCAGATCTAATGGCCTAGTGTGGTGGTGCATGCCTGTAATCTAACCACTCAAGAGGCTGAAGTAGGACTGCCGCGAGTTTAAGTCCAGCCTAGACTACATAGTGAGTTTAAGGCCAGCCTGAGCTACACTGAGACCCTATCTAAAGAAACAAACAAACAAATCAGATCCAAAAGAAAGAGTTTTGGCTGGCAATCATCAAATAAAAGATCTCTTAAAAATAGCAAGAGACCACAAGAAAATCATTCCAATAGCTGCTAGATGATGCAAAGAAGACTAATGTAAGATTAACTGAATCAGGGAAGAATCAGAAAAGCATAAAAAGAAGCACAAAGAACATTTAAAAACCTGTTCACAGAAGTAATAGCAAAAAACTTTCTAAGCATGGAAAAAGAATTTGAGATACAGTTAAGTGAGGCGTAACAGAACCCCAAATGGTCATGATCAGAAAAACACTACACCAAGACATGTAACAGTCAAGATTCCAGAAGTTCAACAAAAGAACAGAATACTAAAAGCTGTTAGAGAAAAGAAACAAATCACCTATAAAGGAAAAGCCATCAGAATCACACACCTCTTAACACATACCTTCAAGTCAGAGCTTGGAATGAAGTATTTCAAGCCCTAAAATAAAACAATCTCCAACTCAGAATTATGTACCCCATAAAACTATCTTTCAAGTTGACTGAGAAAGAAGATACTTTCATGACAAAGGACACCTGAAGAAATTCATGACCACCAAGCCAACACTCCAAAAAGTTCTGAAGGACATTCTAGAAAAAGACAATTCTAAGAATTCCAATAGAATGAATCTACTAGGCGAGGAATTAAACAGAAGGAAAGAAAGGGTGCTGACAAGAAATTAATATGAAAAGGATGAGTCAATACATAGTAGCTATAACCATCAGTATGAATGGTATCAATTCACCATCAAAAGACAGAGATTGGCAGAATGGATCAAGAAACAAAAATCCAACAATATGCTGCATATGAGAAACACATTTGCTGGGTGTGGTGATGCAAGCCTCTATTCCCAGCACCCAGGAAGCTGAGGCAGGAGGATCACCACAACAAGTTCAGGGCTAGCCTAAACTACATTATGGTACCCTGCCTGAAAAAGAAAGAAAGAAACCATGAAATAAAGAAAGAAAAGAAGAAAAAGAAAAAGAAAGAGAAAGATGAGAGCTGGACCAAAACTTTGAACAAATGGACTTAGCAGATATCTACCCAACAATAAAATACACATTCTTCTCAGCAGCAAAGGTGACTTTCTCCAAAAGAGACCACATACGCCCATAGAACATGCTTAGGTAAATGCAAAGGAACTAAAATTATCCTATGCATATTATCAGATCATAGTGCAATGAAATTAGAAATCAATGGCAAAACCAACCATGAAAACTACGTAAATGCAAGGAACTTAAATAACCAATGGGTGGGTCACAGATGAAATTAAAAAAGAAATTAAGAGCTGGGCGTGGTGGCACATGCCTGTAATCCCAGCACTCGGAAGGCTGAGGCAGGAGGATTGCTCTGAGTTCGAAACCAACCTGAGCTACATAGTGAGTTGCAGGTCAGTCTCAACTACATAGTGAGACCCTGTCTCAAAAAAACCTCCTCCCCCAAAGAAGAAATTAGACAGTTTCTATATTTAAATGATAACACCAATATGACACACCAGAACTTATGGGATTCAATAAAACGAGTCCTATGAAGGAAATTTACAGCACTGAGTTTCCACATCAGAAAGAGAGTGAGCTCAAATAAATAACCTAATATTGAATCTCAAGGTTCTAAATAAGAAGAGCAAATTAAACCCAAAGCACATGGGAGGGAGGAAATTATAAAGATCAGAGCAAAAATTAACAAAAGGGAGACTAAGAAAACAATACAAAGAATGAATTGAAAAGTTGGTCTTTGAAAGATTAAATAAAATTGACAAACCCTTAGCCAACCTTATCAAAAAGGATAGAAAGGACCCAAATCCACATAGTTAGGAATGAAAAGAGTGAAATGGACTCTGTAGAAATCCTGAAGATTACTAATACCTACTTAGGAGAACCTGTATTCCAGTAAGATGGAAAACTCAGAAGAAATGGACAGATTTCTAGATGTATATGAATAACCAAAGCTGAACCAAGAAGATATAAAAATTCTAAATAAACCAGTATCAATCAATGAATTCGAAGAAGAAAAAACTGCCAACAAAGGAAAACCCAGATACTCACAGATTCACTGCTGAATTCTTTAAGAACTTCAGAGAAGATCTAATGCCACTATTCCTCAAACTCTTTAATGAAATTGAAAAGGAAGCAATACTCCTAAACTTATGCCTGGAAGCAAGCATTACCCTGATCCACAAGCCAGACAAGTATCCAACCAAAAAGGAGAAATACAGGCCAATCTCCCTAATGAACATAGACATAAGAATCCTCAATAAAATACTGGTAAACAGAATGCAGCAAATCTTCAAATAAATTATACACCACGATCAAGTAGGATTCATCCCAGGAATGCAGGGATGGTTCAACACATGCAAATCAATAAATGCAATATACCACATTAAGAGAATCAAGGATAAAAATCGTATGATCTGAGTTTGAGCCCCAATACCGCAGAAACAAAACAAAACCATACGATCATCTCAATAGACACAGAAAAAGCATCTGACAAAGTCCAATACCCATTCACGATAAAAATTCTACATAAAATTGGAATAGAAGGTCTTCACCTCAATGAGAAAAGGCATTTAAGACAAACCAACAGCCAACATCATATTAAATGGTCAAAAACTGAAAGCTTTCACTTAAAAACAGGAATAAAACAAGGATGCCTACTATCACCACTTCTATTCAATATAGTCCTGGAAACATTAGCCAGAGCAATTAGACAAGACAAAGAAATAAAAGGAATATGGATAGGAAAGGAAGGGGTTAAATTACCATTATTTGCAGATGACATGATACTCTTATACATAGAGGCTCCCAAAAACTCCACCAAAAGACTCCTAAAATTAATAACTAAACTAGAAAGTATAGAAAGATACAAAGTCAACACTTCAAAAGTCAAAAGTATTCCTGTACAGAAACAAACTCACCGAGAAACAAATTAGGAAAACAATACCTTTCACAATAGCATCCAAAAAAATGAAAAACCTAGAAATCAATCTAATGGAGGAAGTAAAACACCTTAATATGGAGAACTACAGTACTCTGAAAAGGGAGATCAAAGAGGATATTAGAAAATGGAAAAATATCCCTAGTTCTTAAGTAGGAAGAATATGGTTAACAACAACAAAAAAAATGGAAGCAAAGCTTTTATAAATGAGGGGGAAGAGGGGTGAAGGGAGTAGGGGAGTGGAGGAAAAAAGAAGCAAGATATACCATGTACAAGTACAAATTCCCTATTAAAAATGTTATTATGTGTATTTAAAAGATACCAATAAAATTTTTTTAAAAATCAATTAAAAATATTCCTATGCATCATTAGATAATGCTACCTCAAGCAATTAAGGTCCCCCCACATCAGGGGATCAAACTCAGGACCTTGCACTTGCCAGGCTGGCACAGTACCACTGAGCTACATCCCCAGCCCCCCAAAATCAAGTTCTAATGCAAGTATTTTT